TGTTCATACAAGCAGGATTCATTCAAATATTGAAAAAAGGTAACATTCTATGTATTAGTTTTTATATTGTCCGTGATATACAGTGCAAGTTATAAAACAGCATGTGTAAACTGCAGTATATTCATATAATGAAATACCAGTTAGCAATAAAACAGAATAAATTCATGATACAAACAAAAACGTGGATAAACCTCAATAACGTTATGCTGACTGAAAGAGGCCTTCTGTAAAAGTTCATGCTGGACGACACCGTTTATATGAAATTCTAGAACAGGAATAAATCAGTGATAAAATCAGAACAGTTTTTGCCTCTGGGGGCAGTGGGAGGGAGTAGGAATTGGCTGGGAAATGGGGAGAGAAAACTTTCTGAGATGTTGGTAGTGGTCTCTGTAGCAGTGTGGGTTACGCAGGTGTATGCATTTGTCAAAACCCAAAGAATGTACAACTAAGATGTGTGCACTTCACTGTAAGTGATTTTACATCAGAAGACAAAAACAATACACAATACTGAGATCTAGAATTTGGAGGAAAGTGTACCATATCTTCAGTTGCACCAAAAACAGGATGTATTAATGGATGGAGAGGCAGAGATGTGGTAAAGCAAATGTAGTCAGATGCCAGCGGTGGAGCCTAGGTGGTGGGATGCTGCAAAATTCTTTCAAGTTTGTCGAATGTTTGAAAATTCTGGAAAAGAAATGTTAAAAAAAAAAAAAAAAGTGTAGTGTGTATGACACAATTCTCTTGCGGTAAGAAACAAAAACCTAACAAAACCTGAGTGAAGATATTGGCTGTACACATTCGCTGGGCACAGGAAGCACAGGGGTGTATCAGCTGTCAGCCATGGCTGCTTCTGCGGAGTCAGTGGGGGAGGCACAGGGCAGACTTTCACTTTTCCATTACATGTGTCTGTATTGTTTGGGATTTTACAGTGACTGTGATTTCCTTTATCCTAGAACAAAATCAGCATGATTCAATTTTTTGTCAAAGGTAAATATGAAAATGTTAACAGTTATCTTAGGATTTTGGGTAATTTTCACTTGTAATTTTCTGTACTTTTAATTTTTATGGTAAACACATTTTTTTTTTAATTAGGAAAAAATTTAATATATTTCCATTCTCAGAAACAGCAACAGCATCCAACAGTTATATGATACTTTATAAGGTTACAGTTATTGTTTTTTTAACATTAATTAATTTGTTCTTCATAAAAATCTTGAAGACACTCACTTTCAAGAGTGACAGGAAAAAAAGAATATATGTGAAATATTAGAAATCTATCAACACTACCAAATCAATCTTACACCATATTCGCTGTTGACATCTATTTATTGAGTAACAAACTACGTGTTAGGCACCTTTCTGAGCCCTGGCGATGTAGTGATAAAATAAGGGAGATCCGTGTACTCATTGAACTTGTCTTCTCTGATGAAGATGAGTAATAAACAAACATATAATGAAACATCAGGGAGTAATAAATGCTGTTTTTAAAAAGCAGGATAAGGGGATAGAGAATGGAGGTGCTATTTTCCTTAGGCTGGTCAGAGAAGGTAGAAATTTAAATAAAACAAAGGAGTAAACCTTACAGTTATCTGTAAGAATGTTCCAGACCAATGGAACAGCAAGTGCAAAGGTCCTGAAATGAGGCAGTGCTTGGTGTGTTGAAGGAACAGAAAGTGGGTCAGGATGAGGGGAGTCGGTGAGCAAGAGTGAGAGAGGAAATGAAGTCAGAGCAGTGGCTGGAAGCCAGATCCTTGCAGGGCCTTGGTAGGCCTAGATAAGGACTTTGCATTTCCTTTCGAGTAGTAGGAAGCCTCTAGAGGGTTTTAAGCAGATGAAATGACTTATTCCAGTATTTCCTCTTAAAAGGTTTGCTCTGGCAGCTGAGTAGAGAATTGGCTAGGAGAGAGGTAGGGAGGGCAGGCAAGAGTGGAAGCAGAGACTGTTCTGGAAAACATGAAAGATGCTGGTGCTTGGGCTAGCGCTTTGGCTGGGAGGGTGATTCTGCCCCCCCCCGGGGACATTTGGCAGTGTTGGGAGCCATTTTTGCTTGTCACAACTGGGGTGGGGGTACTGCTGGCGTCTCATGGGTCGAGGCTAGGATGCTGCCCCCAGTGACAAAGAATATCTGGCCCCAAGTATCCATCGTGCCCGGCTGAGAAACCCTGGCCTGGAGGGTCAGCAGGCAGGAGGTGAGCAGTGTCAGGTGCTGTGTAACTCTTAACATAAAGCAGACAGGGTTCCTCCACTGTTTGGAAATGGCGTGTCGGACAAAGAGGAGTCCAATGGCCTGAGCCTTTTTATGAGCTCCATCACCAGCACCAGGCAGTAAGCACTCAATAAGTACCAGCTGTTGTGTTGATTGTTGTAATTGTTACTATCCGGTTTTGTGGAATTTTTGAGCCATTTTTATTACCTCTTATTTTGCCTGCTCTCTGGCCTTTCATTGCCTGGTAACACTCTTGTGTAGGGGAAGGAAAGAATAGTGTGAACAACCAAACCAGTTGTTAGCAATTCTGGTGCAAAGGGAATTGATATTATTGCTGATGTAAAATTTTGGATCATCAGTGACTGATTTATCCATGCTGCTTTTATGCATATAACCATACATTGAATATTTTAAAGTTGCATGATGTCCCTATTTAATGGAGTTTTATATTTTCAGTGGATTTATAATAATGCTTATTTCCCAGTCAATAATTAAGTTATTTTTATAATTTTAAAGTCTTTGTTAATTCCAAAATCTAGACAACTATGAATCTGGTTTTACTAACTTTTTTCTCTTGATTTTAGATAGGATACTCTCCATTGTGGATGAGACATTAAGAAACTCTGGATTCTGTTATCTTCTTCTGAAGAGTGTTTAGCTCTCTTCTCCCAGGCTGTTTAATTGATCTTGTGCTTGCTTGCTTGTAGGACTGGTCTCCTTTGGCTTTGCTCTTAGTTCTGGAGTGTGGCTCTGAATCCTGGAATGTGGTTGTAACTAAGGCATGAACCCTCTGGGGTGTCAGTGGAAAGCTCCTCTGATTTGACAGGCTGGCTCTCCCTGTCTGTGTGTACACTGGTGAGCAAGCGTTGAAATCTCTGCTCAGCATGTTCAGCGTTTCAGATGTTGTGTCCGCAGGGCTCCTCAGAGTCTTGTCTCACGTGTGTGCAGAGCGGGGGTCAGCCCAGGACTCCAGGAGAGCTTGCTCGAAGATTTTGACACCTTCTTTCCTAATACTTCCCCCCGAAGTTCCCGGCAGCCTTCAGTTCTGATCTCTAACTCCTCACCCCCATAAGGCAGTTGCTTTTCAGTTGAGCACCACCCCCACGTGCCGTGTGAATTGGGGAGTACCTGTGGGAAAAGCTGGATAAAGGTGGATCTCACCCCGAGTTGTTATTCTTTTAAGGGTAATATCCCTTTCATTTCTGCCTGTATTTTTTGTTCCTTCCTGCTTTCAAATGGTTGTTTTTTTATATTTTGTCCAGAGCTTATTATTGTTATTGGCACCAGGATTAGTCTGATACAAACTGTTCTGTCATTACTGGAATCCAGAAGTCCCAGTCAATAAGTACGTTATAGACAAAAAGACAAACCACCATGGTCTGCATAGGACTCAGAATTAGACTGGAGAATGCGTTTCCTGTAGAGCATTTTATCCACTGAGAGATCCTGATTTACACGAGACTGTGCTGCGTGTGCATGGTGCAGGGGTGCATGGGAGCGGGCCAGCCAGAGCTATCTGAAGATGGAGTTGACAGAAGGATTCGCTCTGAATGGAATGGACTCGCTGATGGAGCATCTCGGCAGCCGAGCCTTTGTGCTCGTGGGAGAGGGCTGCTCTCTGAGTCAGGCAAATGTGGCCCACACTTTTGTTTCCTCTGCTCTGTGAACGAGAGAACACTGGTACTGCTGCCTCAACCAGAGACGTCACTTCCTGTCTGCTGGCTGAGCGAGGCATTGCTTCCTCAGGTAGTGAGCCTGGCTGGACTTGGTGCCCAGGGTCCCCGACAGCCATCCCCCATCCTTCAGGGCTGCCTTTCGGGAGCCAATTGCCCGTGGTATGCTGTCTTCAGCCTTGTCTGTTGTCTTCCCACCTCTGGGTCTCTTGACCCTCCCATCTTTCTTTCACCTGCCCACCTCACACGTGTCACTCCCTGTCTCCCTGAATGAGGCCTGGTCCTTGTATTTGTCCCCTCCCTTGGGCCCACTGGCCTTCTTCCATCGTCTTCCCCTTCTCATGTCCAGCCAATGATAGATGGAAATGCATTTTGTAGGTGGGAGTATTTGCTGTGTGCCTGCTGCTGTTCTTTAGAGGGGGTTATTTGTTCTAACTTTGTAAAGCAGGTGAATTAAATGCTTTACATTTCTCCCCCTAAAAATACTAAGTTGCCCTTTTCTTCTGTGTTACCATTGATTCTGTCTTGGTGGTGCCAACAGCCCTGACAGGAAGGAAGAAGGATAGTTGCCAGTCCCATCCTAGCTCTCCAGGATGGCTCCGCCTGTGGATATTAAGTCTCTCTGCTCTGACTCCTGTGATTTTAGGATAATTAAAATGATATGATTGAATTCACTTTTCTTCGTCTTCTCCTATAAATTTCTTTTGTGTGCCTGGAGGTTATTCACTGATTCTTCCGTTATTCTCCTCAGCTTACTTTCTTAAGAAGGAAAAAAAGAGGAAAAGTCCAGTCTGTCCATTATTTGAGGGGGAAGCTTCCTTTCTCATCGCCTCTTGACGCCGTCTCCTCCCACCCATCCCCGTCCCCGGGTGGGCTCTGCCTCATGTCGCTGCAGACTTGTTCTGTCCATCTACTGAAAACTCACTGTTGCAGCTCTGTGGTCTTGCCGCTTTGACAGGCTGGCAGTGAGATTTTCTTCATAAATCTAAAAGCTGCCAGAATTGAGGAAATCCGGTTTTCTTTTTCACCCTGGCAATCCCTACCACACCTTTGCCTCTTTACTTTTTCTGTGGGCTTGTTGCATTTTCCTGTTAAATTCACTCTCTTTTCTTTCTCCTCAGGTTTTGCATGCAGAAGTGTGTTAGTCTGGTGCCTGGAGTCACACTGGATTTAATAGAAAAGTAAGTAGGATTTGTAAGCTCTTGAGGCTTTCTGGGTCTGAGGGGGAGTCTTCTCCTTTTATCACTTGAGGTTCTCAGAAGTACTTCCTATTAGCATGAGGCCATCTCCCTTTCATGTGAGTATGTTCTTTTGTTCTCTGATTAAGGCCATATTTGTGATTGTTACATTAGTGCTTAGCATAGGACATAGCTAAATGTGGGGCCATATTAAAAGAAAAGAATAAAAGGCTGAATCCTTTTGAACATTTAAAAATACTCCCAACACTAAGCTGAAGCAAAAATGTATCACGGCACATGCAGATCATCTCTGCTCCACGGCTGCAGAGGCCAGATCGTAGCTCAGCGTCTCCCTGATTTTCAGCTCTCCGTTTAATACTCTGCAGCCTTCCATCCCCACCCATTTTATGTTCTATCTCAGGGCAAATGGGGAGGAGCAGTCAGGAGGTGTCCTTTCTGGCGCATTTTAGCTGCAGTGCTTCTCCTTGTCCTTCCAGGTCAGTGGGCCAGCTTGTCTGCCTCCTGTTGTGAACCAGTTTGGGTCTGAAAGACTATCTCATGGCTCTACACTTGACCTGTATTCTTTTGTTTGTTTGTGTGTTCATTTGACTCATTCTGTTTGTCTAGATAGTGGTTCTTAAACCTTTCTGCTCTGAACCCCATTTCTTCTGGAATTAACATACAAGATAATTGTTTTCTAAGTCTTTATTTTCAAAATCATGTGTTAAACAGCTAAGGCCTAAATTTAATTAAATTAGGTAGAAAAAGCAAATCTACTTCTAGGTTTCTCTCCTAGAAAACAACTTGCCTGTGTATCAGGGGAGATATACAAGAGTATTATGCCCAGATGTCCACCAATAGAGGCCCAATGGACTCGATTGCAGTACATACCTACTGGGGATTGCTCGCCAGATGGCAAGTACAAGGAGAGTCTAGCTACACTTGTACTGATGTGGGATGGTCTGTCAGATATGTTAAATGAAAAAGGCAAATTGAGACCATTGCACACAGTAGGATGCCCAGAGTATTTTTTTATTGATGTCTTAATAGTTTATAACATTGTAAAATTTTAGTTGTACATTATTGTTTGTCAGTCACCGTATAAATGCCTCCCTTCACTCCTTGTGCCCACCTCCCCATACCCCTTGCCCCTGGTAACCACCATACAGTTCTCTCTGTCCATGTGTTAGTTTATCTTCCATATATGAGTGAAATCATGCTGTGTTTGTCTTTCTCTTTTTGGCTTATTTCGCTTAATATGATACCCTCCAGGTCCATCCATGTTGTTGCAAATGGGACGATTTTGTCTTTTTTTATGGCTGAGTAGTATTCCATTGTGTATATATACCACATCTCCTTTATCCAATCATCAGTCGAGGGACGCTTAGGTTGCTTCCATGTCTTGGCTATAATGAATAATGCTGCAATGAACATAGGGGTGCATAAGCCTCTTTGGATTGTTGATTTCAGGTTCTTTGGATAAATACCCAGAAGTGGGATAGCTGGATCATAAGGTATTTCTATTTTTAATTTTTTGAGGAATGTCCATACTGTTTTCCATAGAGGCTGCACCAGTTTGCATTCCCACCAGCAGTGAATTAGGGTTCCCATTTCTCCACAACCTCTCCAACATTTGTTGTTTTTTGTTTGGGTGATTATAGTCATTCTAACGGGTGTAAAGTGATATCTTAGTGTAGTTTTGATTTGCATTTCCCTGATCATTAGTGATATTAAACATCTTTTCATATGCCTATTGGCCATCTGTATATCGTCCTTGGGGAAGTATCTGTTCATATCCTCTGCCCATTTTTTGATTGGGTTGTTTGTTTTTTTGTTGTTTAGTTGTGTGAGTTCTTTATATATTATGGTTATTAACCCGTTGTCAGATATATGATTTGCAAATATTTTCTCCCAGCTGGTGGGTTGTGTATTCATTTTGATCCTGGTTTCATTTGCCTTGTATAAGCTCTTTAATCTGATGAAGTCCCACTTGTTTTTCTTTTGTTTCCCTTGTCCAAGTAGACATGGAATCTGAAAAGATCACTTTATGACCGATGTCAAATAGTGTACTGCCTATATTTTCTTTCAGGAGTTTTATAGTTTCGGGTCTCACCTTCAGGTCTTTGATCCATTTTGAGTTAATTTTTGTGAATGGTGATAGCAGATGGTCTGCTTTCATTGTTTTGCAAGTGGCTGTCCAGTTTTCCTAGCACCATTTATTGAAGAGACTTTCCTTTCTCCATTGTATGTTCTTAGCTCCTTTGTCGAAGATTAGCTGTTCGTAGATGTGTGGTTTTATTTCTAGAGATACCCAGAGTATTTTTAAGATAATGCATAACTCTGTGTGTGTGTGAGTACACATAAAAAAGTCATGAAATGATATATTTGTAGTTCACTCTGTTCTGGGTACAAAAGTGGAATTTGGAGAAAGGAGGGGGGAGGAGCAGTGTTAATTGACTTTGATTTTTTCCACCTTTTTTTTTTTTTTAAAGATTTTATTTATTTCCCCCCCAAGCCCCAGCAGATTGTTGTATGTCATAGCTGCACATCCTTCCACCCGCTGTATGTGGGACACGGCCTCAGCATGGCCGGAGAAGCGGTGCGTCAGTACACGCCTGGGATCCGAACCCGGGTCGCCAGCAGCGGAGCGCGCGCACCCAACCGCCAAGCCACGGGGCCGGCCCTGATTTTTTCCACCTTTAAAAATTTTTTTTATAAGAATATAGACAAGTAAAATACATGTGCAAATAAATTTAAAGGAAGGAGTCAACAAATATAATTAGGATACCTGCGAACAATTCTTTGAGTATAATTTCTCCTTTTAAATTTTGAATAAATATCTAAGGAAATTAGGTGACTGGTGACTGCATCTGTTTATTTCAGGATGCATTTGTTCACCAGCAAAATGGGATATTGTGACAAGAAGGAATTAGCATAATATTGATTGGTGCTAGCAGGACAAATGGAAAGGTTTGGAGTCCTTCTGCTCAAGAGTAGGTCTTGGTTATCACAAAACCAGCCCATAGTTGACAGAGACTTAAAAGTCTTTGTTAGAAAGGCAACATTGGCCAAGGCAGAGATTGAGGTGCATTGACAGGTTAGGGTGCTGGCAAGCTGGATTCAAAGTAACGGGAGCTTTGCAGGTTGTTATTGAGAACCAGTGCTAAAGCTGCGTTCAGGGGAGCCAAGTGTGTTACATCAGAACAGATACGAGGTGATTTGGCCTGGTGCAGATGTGGTGGCCAGAGCAGGGACTGCAGACCACAGGCTTGTCGAGTTGACGGTCATTGGTGAGGGCGCAAGTTCCAGAGTCTCGTTGGACATGCGTCACCATCCATCTCCCCTCAGTATGTAGTGTAACACACAACAGTAAACCAGTTGTCTGCTTTCTTCTTTTCACAACCCTTTATTGTGTACGTGCTGCTCCAGGCACGTGCATTTGCTAGTTCTCTGCAAACCATGGGCTGTGGTGCAATCTGGTGATAGACGGTTTTGAGAGCACTGTTGTTCACCAAGTGTAAAACATGGGTAATCCACATGGCAAATTTCCACCTTCCTGTCTGCTGTGCAGTCCCCACTCACTCGGCATACTCGTGGTCGGGAAGTAGAGGGCCATGCTGTGGCACACGCAGGCCGAGCAACACAGGTGTTAAGGTGTTCTCTTTTAAGGAATCTTCCGTGTTTGCCCACGTTGTGGCCAGACTCGCACAACTCTCTTCTAGAGACACGCAGGCTCAGGGCGCCACTGCTCGTGAGAGCTGCTCCTCCGTGTTCTAAGCCGGCTTTACCTCCAAGAAAGACTGTGACCTGGAAAACCATTTCCAAGTGCTAAATAGTAATGTAATCATCAAGAAACAGCACATGGAAAAGAATTTTAAAAAATAAGAAAATAACTAGATCTGTCGGGTCAGCCAGTCTGTTTGGTTTGGTTCCTTGACGAGATTTCACAGTTTTGCAAAGCTGTTGCATTAGAACTCCCTTTACCAGTCTTTGCTATACTCTCTCTTTAGGGTCTTTATTTCCCCTCCATTTCTGAGTTATAGAATGCCCAATTACCTGTACCATTACCTATACTGTGTATTGCCACATACATGTAATTTCTGAAATAAACCATATCCGTTAAAATTTCTACAAAGTTACAGTTTATCAGAGCTAGGTTGTTTCTGGTGGCCTGTTCAGACAGTTCTTGGTTTAAAATATTTTTGGTTTTGTTTTATTTTTGCCTCCCTGTGACTGTTTCCAGAGTTCCCTATGGAGGGGCAGAGTTGTTACTCGTCTCCCATCAGGGAGGGCAGCAGGAAGCATGAACCCAGCCCCCTCCTCCATCTCCATGCTGGATGGTGTCCCAGCGCTCTCTCCATCTTGGATGCCCAAGTTTGTGCTGTCCTCTGCCCTCCTGGTCACTCAGCACGATTCTGGCTGCTCCAGACTATGCTCTGCTCGTGTTTGTTGAGCCATATGTGCCCAGACAAAGAGCCTGACATGTTCTGAGTCTCCAGAATAAAAAGAGCTATTAAAAATCACATAATTTTCAGAAAAAAATTAAGTTATTTAGTCAAACCCCCTAATTTTACTGAAGAGGAACCTGGCATTGAGTTCAGTTCAGCTTCCTGGTGGCATTTTCCACCTGGCAGTGCAGGGCTGGCCCTGCGGCCAGGTCTCTGGGCATCTTTCTGTGGTCCTCACATACACAGGCCCTCCCTCTGCCCAGACATCGGTGTCAGGACAACCAACTCTTGTCCTCTCACTTTCTCAGACTTGAAATGTACGCAGCGATTTGATACCCTAAGCACGATGCATAAAATAATAAAATTGGTAAATTGGACTTCATCAAAATTTAAAATGTTTACTCTCTGAAAGGCACTGCTAAGAGAGTGAAAAGACAAGCTACAGACTTGGGGAAAATATTTGCAAATCACATAGCTGACAAAGAACTTGTATCCAGAACATATAAAGATATCTCAAAACTCAAAAATAAGGAAATAAAACAACTGGATTAAAAA